GTTATAGCCTTGTTCCTCTGAAAAGAATTTAGATGTTGCAGTAATTGTTACTGTTGCAAATTTATTAATTATGTCCTTGCTTTGAAGAACCTTACGTAATGTCATTAACACACATGCACAATAATACTCGTACATAAAATTGACAATTTTCGTTCATAGAAATAGGAAATATGTACCTACTCAATATTTAGATTCTACAGAAATAAAATGACAACTAAAAAGTGAGAAAAATACGCATTAAAATCTAAGTTTACAAATTTTCATTTATTTTGAATGTTCTCTGGTATATAATCGAACTGAAGTCAAACAGACCCCAGACATCAGCAATTAAGGATATTAGTGACCCATATCATAGTTAAGTAAATAAAGACTACTGTTTCATGTCACAAAATGTGAATGTTTGTCATTAATTATTCCATGAAGTTCACTCATCTTCTTCACTCTCACTAACAGTTTGTCTTTTATAGATTTGCTGCATAATATGATTCGTACTCCTTCGGAATTGTCCCAGAGGCAACAAGTGGCATCAAATCAGCTTTTTATTTTTGCAGCATATATTGAAATTTTCTCTATGTAAGCCTTTCGTTGAGCCTTAAGAGACTTTTCTTTGCTTCTGCTCTTCTTCTGCATTAACCTAACTTCCTTGAACTCACTAACATCAAAAACCATAGTTCACAAAAATACTGTATTCTTTCATTTCTTTGTCTTTACAAACTTGAATCCATTTTATATTAAGCCAATTAACACGTTCTCCATCAACATCAATTTTCATTGAGCCAAAGTTTTGTTCTTTGTACAACTTGTAATCTAGTATGTCAGTGTATTTTATTAGAACGACAATATATGGTTGCTTTCGGCGTGCTAATGATATAACTGTTTCCCACTGAGATGGAACGTGTACTTTTGTGAGGCTTTTTGCATGCTCGATACATGCATGTATGAAATCATATTCAATTTCTGAATGACCAGCTTTGGTTGGACCAGTGGTGGACGAATTGCTGTCCAACTTTATGTCATGTTTTTTACTTATATAAGCTTTATATGCCTTTCTTTCTTGTTTTTTAAATAAACAGTCCAGTGCCCTCTGGGCCTGAACATTTTCATCCAATTTGGTATTTGTTCTATTTTATCTTGACATAAATAAACTGCTGAGTCTTGCCAGGTGCAAACATAAAATTATACTTTATATAGTGGAACAGTATAAAGTGATTTATGTTTGTACAGTTTCATCTTATTTTACATCTTAGCACATTTAAGGCATTTCTGGTGTTTAAACACTTTTCGGTGTAATTCTATCTTTCGGATCATAGAAAATTTTTCACCACTAGGTGTCGCACGCAAAATTGTTATCTGAAAATTGTTTCACACTTTATGTCATGTTTTTTACTTATTGTCCAACTTTATGTCATGTTTTTTACTTATATAAGCTTTATATGCCTTTCTTTCTTGTTTTTTAAATAAACAGTCCAGTGCCCTCTGGGCCTGAACATTTTCATCCATTTACAGATGTCTTACTTGCATCAGAAGTAACATACAAGTACACACAAGTTCCTACTTCACACGAGCCTCGTTTCCCCTGTGTCTCATCCCAAAGATAACAAGTCCCGTTACCATTTCCCAGTCCATAGAATGACAAATTGTTACAACAAAGTTTTCTATTGTAATAAAGTTCACCAATTAAACTGCATGGTGTTTGGCGATACAGCCTGGATATCAAATGCCGACACAGAAAACTTTGGATCTTTCTTTGCCCGTTCTTTATCGGCTGATTTTTCCATTCTAGCATTGCTTTTTCTTTCTTGGTGTGCCTGATATTTTGCTTTTGTTGCCTCATCTAGTCTATCTTCTATTCTCAAAGTGTCATAAAGATTGCCGAGTGGACATTGATCTTTCTTATGATTAAAGAAAGACAAGTTATATTCTGTACAGAAAATGTTTCTGTAGAAAGCCTCTGAAACATTTTGTCCTTTGCATTTTTCTATATACAGAGAGTACATTCGTCTTATATTTAAATCTTGCGTTAGATATTTTCTGTTGAAGTCTTTTCGTGTGTAGTGTGATTCAAAAGTCGGAAAGCTTTCGATGTGTTTCTTTACAATGATCAATGATATTTCTTTGTTTTATTTCCAGGCACACCTTTCCCTCTCTTGCCATTTCTAACATATAACCCCGGCAATTTGTGCTTAACTGCGTTTGAAACTGTTTTGGAACTGACATCGAGAGTTTTTAGAAAAAGTCTTTGCACATTTTAAACATTTTGTCACCAACTGTGAAGAAAAACGAATTCGGAATAGTTCTTTGTTTTGTTCTCTGTTTTAGATGCCTTCTCTGGTTCTTTATTGGCAACATGGAAACAAATGAGTTGCCTTTGACTTTTGTAATCATCCATTGACCAGTATGTACTGAATATTTTCTGTCTTTTATCTTCGGTTATATTCTCGCTGCATTTAAATCTACAAGAGAAATTTCTTGGGAAAAGAGATAACAGATAATAGTGCCTGTGAACTGTATGAATGCAGTCTTTTGTCAGAAGAAAAAGGTGATAAAATCAGGTATAACCTTTTCCACTATAGATTCTTCACAACATGTGACACAACAGGACAACAACAGGTAATAAGTACACTAAGAACCTTTAATCCCTACATAATTTGTAGAAAAGAAGTTATTACAAAATACTTTTTAGTGTTTTACCCTTATAAGGATTGAATATTTATGTAATATTTTCGCCAAACATAAAGGACAATAAGTACATTATAAAAAACATAAAAAGTCGATTTCAGCAAAAATGGCAGTTTTAACCTTTTACCTTTGAACCCTCGCATTCATAGTCCTATTCTCCCATGTGAACGGTTATACTATGTGACGCTTCAAACCCTTAGGCATACTAAATTGTTTACAGCAATGTAAACATAATGTGTTCCTGTTAGGTAATTGTGTGTGTACATTTGAAATGTGAAGTCTCAGTTTGTACACAGTGTTCACATTTGTACAGATTACTATTCATCATTAAGTTGGGATAAAGTAAGATGACTTCGTGAATGATGTAGCAGGAATAACTGCTAATATAAAACAAATACTGTCAAATAGTTGATTTCTTTCTTCATAATGAAGATACCCGTTGTATACAAATCCTAAGGATCTTTTTCACCGAAAACCTTTTACATTCTCTGCCCTATCATTATGGTCCCCTTTGAAACCATAGAACATCTCCTTGGCGACAGGACTACCTCTTTCACGACAGAGCTGTCTCCAAGAACAAATATCCTATATTTTCTTTATTAACTTATGTTTTGATCTAATTTCAATCTTATTTCATTTCTAGACCTAATATCTACTTAAAAACATATTTGTTTTTATCTGAATCGCTGTTTAGATGGAAATTGGAGGCAAAATTATCTGTTTCATGATGAGACGGTCCGTTTCAACGCTGAACAAACACAAAACTAAATATCATTGTGGGACGTTTGCAAGAACTGTGGTCCTGGATATAAGAAAGAACGGAGGGAACGTACAGTTATTGCTAATAAAACAATAGAAGATCAGAGCCGGAAAGAACACTATTGTGCCGATGACCTATTACCTTATGATATTACTCAGGCCAGGGGGAATACGGGTATGAAAACTAATGCGGACGAGCTGCTGATTAGAGATGGGAGATCTTTGATGAAAACATTGATAAGAATTTAGAGAATAGATCAATCGGAGATGATCAAAAGAAGTTAGCATCATTGTCAACTATTATAAACACAGATGGAAAAGAACGATTCTAGTAAACACCAAAAAAATAGAGAGAAGACTCTCAGGGCAAAATTGAAACCAACCGTCGTCGGCGTGATATACATAAAATGACAATAAAAATTATTTAAATCATAAAGCAGTTCAGAAAAGTTGGTATGAAAGAAAGAGGTGAATTGAAGTAACTAAGATCAATGCTAAATTCAGACTAAATAATTTACAAAGAGAAGAGCGAATAATTTTTAAGTTAGCAAGTGCAGAAAGGGGTAAAAGGAGAGAATGATCAATTTTTGTTGTCATCTTATACATGTTTACAAAAAAAAAACATCATTGAGTGAAACAAGGGCAGGACTACTAAAGAAAACAAAAAAAATCTGAAAATAACGCTCATCACTGCAAGCTCGTATATTCGAACAGAGCATCGTATTAATTCTCGTATAATACTACCAAAGTTGTATTGAGTATTCAAATGAGCCCTATTTTGTATGCATAATTAATTGACAGGTCAATAAAAAATGGACAATACTTACTTGTAGCTAAAGGACGTGCATACCAGTATATGCATGAGCTTTTCATTTATAAAACACGGACTCTTTAAAGCTTTTTTCTCCGTGAAAATATATTGAGCTTCGACTTCGGATATTTTACATTTGTCTCGATTGTTCACAATTCATCGATAAGGTAGGAATTTACACGTGTTCTTAATTGTTATGTGCTGTAAGTCACAAATATTTATACTTTATATTCATAAAACGATCTGTTGTGTATGACACATGTATCTATAAATCTATTTTTTTTTATCTAATGCACAAAAAGTATTGAATGTTTTTTTCCTACTGTTTTGTATCTATTCAAGATTTTCCTCATTTCCTTTCAGGCCATGAATGACATATACCTTCATTATTAAAGTAAGGAAGAAAATAGTGAAATAAATCACTGCTTCTATGAATTTATATCCGGAAACGATAATAATGAGCTAATATATAGAATTACTTTCATCTCCAATGATACGAAGTTCGGGATACGGACTGTAATCGTATATACATGTATTTGTATTAATTACATAAAAAGCCAACAAATATTTGTTTTACACTTCGTCATTATTTTGTGAATAATGATACTGTGTAGTAATTTAATATGCTTTTTAAATAAAACGGGTTTGTTCAAGTTATATTAGATCACCTGTATCTGATAAGATATGACTTATTTATAGCATTAGATGTATATATAGTTAAGGAATGTTTACCTGATCACTGAAGTTTCGACTGATAACATATCTGAAATGTTATCTTAAGGAAAATATATTGATTTTAAAAAGGTGTTAATCGGCATGCAATCTGAAAGCCCACTTAAGGAAAATAAATATCGTACCTTCATCCACTATAGTGGTGTTAGTGTTAAAATGTGTTTTGAGATTTAATGATGGATAATTTAAAATTAAGAAGGCGCAATACGTGTAAGTGTATCTTAACGGAATATTATATAGTGTTACAAATAACCGTATATACGCGTCAATATAACGCCTGTTAGATTCAATGCATATACTTGAAGAAATATAATGCAGTTTGTAGTCAAAGAAAAGCTACCAATGTTTTATTTGCTATACATATGATATAGAATTCGAAGAAAAATGGGCCGTCCGTTTTGGAATATTTCATTTTAAGAAGCTCTTATTATCAAGAATCCTAAAACTTCACAGAATTTCTTATAAGTCATCCGGTTTTGCCGAATCGGTCTACAGGTTTACCCCCGTCTGTCTGTTATGAAAACTGAACATATTTGGATTACGGGCAAAACTATTAAAAACTGAATATAATTGGGTGCTGTGATTACTCAAAAAGTACAAAAGCCAGGTCGAAAGAATCCTGTGATAACTCTGAACAAGGGAATTCAAGCAGAAAGCTTGTGCTAGGTTGATGAAACTTTTCAGAAAAATGTATTGTGGAGACGTTATGGAGATTAATGGGCGTCATTTTTTTTCTTTCATCTAACTTTTTTATGTTTTCAGAAATAGTAAAATAATACAAAAAAGGTTTGTATGTGAATCAAAAGTGAGACCTTGTATTACTATATAGGACATATATATATAGATCTTTATGATGAGTATAGAAGATATTACAAGTACTATAGTAACTCAAAATATACGCATACTTATAGTTGATGAAACTTGGTGCATGTATTTAGATATGGGTTCTTAATGAACAGATGTACCTTATTCTATTTCATTTAAATGTAATTACTAAGGTTTACAAAAAAAGTAAAAACATTGCAACTGGACATTGCAAGTGTTAGATCCTGTGATTACTCAGAAATCATTTTTCCCCTGTGTTTAAAAATGATGTTTCTTCAAAATTGCACATGCATGGTTCCTTCCTAGTATTATTACCGACTCTGATAAAGTCAACGTTCACACTAATATGGGTTGGTGGTAGGGAATCACCGATACTGCTGTATTGTCTATGACAAGCTTTAGTTTATTTAAGGATTTTTTTTAAAATGCTATAATTTTTTTTATATATAAATTAATACATGTATTTCAGATACGGTTGTAGGCATGAATCGGGAAGTATGTGTTTTGTGTACTCTTGTAGATTAGGAAAATAAATCATTTGCGTGATTTTGCATTACCATACATGTATATGCAGATAAGACTTATATAATCAGATAAAGTTGTACAGAAGTTAATATGCACGGACTAATATTTGCACTATTTTATATATTCCGTATGACAATGCAAAAGCGGAAATGTTTTCAGTTTGATCTTTCTCATTTGTATAACTTTGCACTATTTAATTTTGTTTTATATGTATATTTTTTATAGTTTTATATCTATAAAATTATATGTAATCTTTTAACATTATATATTATCCGACTTGAACTGGAAAAAATCAACAACAAAACAAATTAAGCCTAATATAAATCCGTGTTTAAACGCGGAACAACATATATATATATGTATACGGCATTTTTGTCCCAGATTAAACAACATCATATTTAGACTAAATAGTGTACATATATTTTTGTCCTAACGTGAAATCATTTGATTGTCATATTTTATGAAAGTTATACATAGCCATTGGGTCAAACATGCCTCCGCTCTTCCGGTCATCTTACTACATATATACCTGCGAATACCAAATTTCTAAAACCTTAAAGACCCCTTCGAAGTTTATATTTTGGATATACCATTGACTAGCGGGTCTCTGAAAAAAAAAACACGGGTCGTAAGACAAAAAAAAAATGAATTTTGCACTTTAATCAAAATGCGTTTGTCTTCCAACAAAATGTCATTTATCGTATTGCATTAGAGATATTTATAATAATATATAAGAATTATTAAAAGTTAGTTATAAAGTCAAATTTCGCGCTTACGACATAATTTATATGCCATAATAAGAATATTTTATATTTAATTTTATAAGGAAGCCCACACTACAAGCATAAAAATTTAGTGGTTTCTTCCGTGATAGAACTAAGTACGAATAATATAAAGGACGAAATAATTTCGTAACCGGAAGTAGGAAATAGGGGAGGAAAACTTTCGATTTTTGATAAAAACTAGATTGTAAACAAAAGGCTGATTTAACAAATTATGGTCGATTAACAGAAGAAAACACAATGGCCAATGGAAAATCTAACTTTATTTCTTATATTACCCAATCTGTCAGTGATAGGCAGTCAAGAAAATCGGTAACTTGTGTAGATCAATTTTTATCAGTGTTTTACTGTTTATTTTTAATTTTTTGACATATTGGAAATTTTACTAAATTTAAGTCTCAAAGATCTTTATTTTTATGGTCTGAATGTTAGATTACATAATTGGACTTTCATGTGCTAATATGTAAAGTCATTAGTAGGTGCTCATACTTAATTTAGGATATGTACATGTCCCAATCATCATTAATAATTGGAACAAGACACTTCACCCCTAGTCCAATATATCTGACGTTACGGACTTGTTATATTTTATGTCTTCACAGTCGGCCAAGCCTGACGTCTAATAGTTATTGCTCTTAAACATAAAGTATCACAGTGTAAGAAATTAGTATTTGAATCGACTAGGCTTGTCACACTACCAGATTGGAATATGTACGAGTTAGCCCAAAAGACATTTCAATAGCACGATTCATTTGTTCAAAACAGTATTTTATATTGCCTCTGAAAATACAGTAGCCTGGTCTGGCTTGTTTCTGTGAACAGTTGGTAGCCCGCGGAGAAACTTGGTAGTCTGGACTACTGCTAATTTCGAACGCTGGCATCATAAAAAATTCCAAAATGTCTATTTTCTTGCCTTTCAAGCTTTATTAAAAAATCTATCAAATTTTTCAATTTCATGCTTAATCATGAAAAAATAAACTCAAACAATGTAGTTTTCAATTTAAAATAAAATACAAACATCATCTATTTTTGCCTATTGGCCATACTGGTTAGCACTTTACAGATAATTGATTCCAAATTTTTGAACGGAAAAATATATTGGTACACGCTGACGGTGCACTGGCAAATATTTTGCTCCAAAATATTTCGTTTGACTTTTGACTAATGTAAACGCTTGCATCTGAATAAGCGAATCAGAGTTCACGCACTGTGTGACGGCCATTTGTTTATCAGCTGTATAAGTAATTTAATTAAATAAGAGAATTTAATAATGATTTTTCGTATGTGACATTTAATTATTTTGTTAAAAAGGTATTTATCTTTTACTTTTGCTCATGAATAGGTCAAAGTCAATGTATTTATACGCTGATTTAAATTTTTTTCTCTTTTCAACAGATTTTCTTGCGGAATGTGCTATCGGTTTTTGAGCAATTTCGATAGGAAAGCAAAAATATCTCAAAGCAACATCAAATTAATAGGACTAACTTCACCCCCAGACACTTCACCTATCAAATTTTGAAGACACTTCACCCGTTTGGTGAAACAAACATTTTTAACCTTTACAAACAATGCCTTTATATTTGACATACAGTATTGCCTAGTAGACCTCTATAAAACTTAAAAAAGTTTTATGAATCATGCACTTGGGGTAAAAATGCCTCCACTTTAGATGTCATATATATATATAGTATCATAAGCATAATTAAGATAAAAAAGTTTTCAGACGTCACAAGTTTCTTGATTGGTCTCTACCCTAATTGGAAGATTATTTTTGATTACTCAGACAAATTTACATTTGTGTGTTAATTGCCTCGCCTTTGCTTTGCACTTAAGAATGGTGCACAAACAACTTACTTGAAATTTTCAATGCCTTCTAAAACTGTTCGAGATGAAATTTTTATTACAAATCATTAAATGTATAACATCTGTATTGTTCATAGAAATGATCAAATAATGTATACATTTATTTCCATTTGTATTTTAAGAAGAAAAAACTTCCACTCATGAAGCGCTAAAAAATAATAGATCTTCTGTAATTGATAAAGTTTGCATAATATTAGGCTAAGGCCCTTTTTTGAACTTTGAAAATCATTTGTTAACCAGGTTTGTAACGATGACCGGGTTATTGTAATGCCGAAGTCGGCCGGCGGGCGGGCAGGCAGGCAGTCAGGACGGCGGGCGTCAACTTTTGGTTTCCGTTCAATAACTTTAGTTTGCTTTGGCCTATTAACACCAAACTTGGTGTGTAGGTAGCTTATATCAAGAGGCAGCTTGGGATGCTACCCAGGTGTCTGTGGTCAAGGTCACTGTTACTAAAAATAGAAATTCAGTTTCCGCTCAATAACTTGAGTTTGCTTTGGTCTATTGACACCAAACTTGGTGTATGGATAGCTTATATCAAGAGGCAGCTTGGGATTGCTACCCAGGTGTCTGTGATCAAGGTCACTGTTACTAAAAATAGAAATTCAGTTTCTGCTCAATAACTTGAGTTTGCTTTGGCCTATTGACACCAAACTTTGTGAGTAGGTAGCTTATATCAAGAGGCAGCTTGGGATTGCTACCAAGGTGTCCGTGATCAAGGTCAAGGTCACTGTTACTTAAAATAGAAATTCAGTTTCCGCTCAATAACTTGAGTTTGCTTTGGCCTATTGACACCAAACTTGGTGTATGTATAGCTTATATCAAGAGGCAGCTTGGGATTGCTATCCATGTGTCTGTGATCAATCAAGGTCACTGTTACTAAAAATAGAAAGTCAGTTTCTGCTCAATAACTTGAGTTTGCTTTGGCCTATTGGTGCCTAATTTGGTGTGTAGGTAGCTTATATCAAGAGGCAGCGTGGAATTGCTACCCAGGTGCCTGGGATCAAGGTCAAGGTCACTGTTACTAAAAAAAGAAATTCAGTTTCAGCTCAATAACTTGATTTAGCTTTGGCTTATTGACACCAAACTTGGTATATGGGTAGGTTATATCAAGAGGCAGCTTGGGATTGCTACCCAGATGTCAGTGGTCAAGGTCACTGATACTAAAAATAGAAATTCAGTTTCAGCTCAATAACTTGAGTTTGCTTTGGCCTATTGACAGCAAACTTGATAATGGGTAGCTTATATCAAGAGGCAGCTTGGGATTGCTACCCAGTTGTCTGTGATCAAGGTTAATGTATTCAGTTTTCATGTGATAACTTGAGTTTCCTTTGACCTTTTGACACCAAACTTGCTGTGTGGCAGCTTTGGATTGCCACTTAGATATCTGGGAGCAAGGTCAAGGTCATTTGCCTACAATAGAATTTTCAGCTTCTACTCAATAACTTCAGTGCACTTTGACCTATTGATTGCCGTCACATCAAAACTTGGTCGATTAAAACCTGGTTTTCATCGCATTGCGGCGCTTCTTGTTAAAGTTTTACATGCATCATCGATGTTTTAACTACTGAAGGTATTCACTTGAAACTTAATAATTACTTTGCCGATAATTCTGACATGGATTTTTACTGGCCTTTTTTGAAATTTGGGAAAAATTTGGTTAGTGTGTTGGATGCCATTTATTTTTTCAAAATATAAAGGGATATCATTTTAAATATCATGCGTGAAAGGATCTAATTTGGGAGTTCCATATGCCTAGACAGGCTTCTTTCTCTTCATGGATTTTGATTTAAATCCATCTTTTTTTAATTTTACAGTTTGTTTTTCCGTGGGGAAAGACTTTTTAAAGTTTTTGGAGTGCATTTTTTAAATCATTGAAGGTTAAAATTTAATTTTTTAACCCCCCCTTAAAAAAAGGAATTTAATTTTTACGAATTATCCCCTTTCTTAAGTTAAAAAAATTTTTTTAAATTTTTTTTTCACATGAATCACTTTTCCTGTTTATTAACCCCCCCCTTGGGGGGTTTTTTTTTACCTGAATTTGTTTTAATTGAATTTTTTGTTTTAAGGGTTTTTAAAAGCAAAAATTTTCAAATATTGAATATGGCTTTTTTTAAATTTAAATTTTTTAATTAAAACCCCAAATTTTGCAAAAAATTTCCAAAATTTTTCGTTTGTTTTGATTGGTTTTATGAAATTTTTGTTCCCAAAATTTTAAAAAATTTTAACTGTTTAAATAAAGACATTTTTTTACCCCAATTAAATTAAAAAAAATTATCCTTTTTTTTTATCAAATAAAATTTGTTCCCAAACTTTGTCCTACCAAAAGCTCTTGTTAATTTTAGAAAATGCTCAGTTTAAGTTTTTCATGCAACATCAATCTTAATAACTATTGAAAGTATCACATGAAGTTTTATACATGTTTTTGGGATCATAATTGGAGGTCACTATTTAAGGCCTATTACACATAGATATTGACGGAATTATAACCATTTGTGAATTAAAAAAATATTTGGTTTAAATTTTGCTTGCAACATTAATCTTTCATAAAGCTGCTGATTGTATTCACCTAAAACTTGGTTCTTATCCATTACACATGTATATGAATAGTTATAAACATTTTTGATAGATTATATGGCCCTATATAAATGGTTATTTGGAAATATGACCCAAGCCGCTAGGCGAGGGTTATATTGCAAACAACTGTTTATATACAGCAATATAACTTGTCTGTGTTTATATACAGCAATATAACTTGTCTGAAATATTTATAACGAATTTATAATACATCAAGCATCTCTTTTGGAGAAAAGTGAGATTTCTTCATAAATTGACAGCAGCTGTGTATATAAATCTATATAAAAATCACGATTATCCAATGAAAAGCGATGTTACAAATGTGCAATAATTATGAGAATTATTGTATTCAGGGTTTCATTGCAAATTCAGCAATATTAATTCATAGACTTTGTTTGAATTACTGGTAATTAATGCAATACCCCCCCCCCCCCCCCCCCCCCCCCCCCCCCCCCCCCCCCCCCCAAATGCCTCCACCTAGTCTATATCCTTCCCTATTAGACTGTTAGTGTTTTGCTTTGCTAGTATGTACAATGTAGTTACCACTTTTATTTTGACAAGCTGTCAAATAATGGCATGCATGTTTTACAAATAACTTAGATTATTCTTGTTTATATATCATTTGTTATGGTAATATTCAGTCCTACTCAAATATTTTAAAATTCTTTAGGCTGATGAAATCTTTTAGAATTATCATGTTGAGTGTAGGCAATTTGATACAGATAATTTTAGTTTAAACTAGCTTCATTGTTCCCACTATAAGTATTTTGTTTAAGTTTCTAATATGTATACACTTACTTTTCCCTATTTATTCAATCAGAACTTTGGCTTCAGTTTTTGCTGTAAAAATCACATGGTCATTGATCATATATAAATTAACTGATCAATTAAAAGATTAATTGGTTCATTTCTATTGTCATTTACAAAGTTTTACATAACATTTTAAGCCTATTATAGCATTCGGCACAATATGGCCAGTTATGTGTTGACGTGCCGTAAAAATCCAAACAAAAGAAAGAAAAAAAGATTAATAAGCATATTAGCTGCAGCAAAATCATACAAAGTATACTGTCATCCCTAAATAAATAAAACCTCCTGTGTAATTAAGAAGATATGAATAAAATTTTGCAAAGAAAAAATCATTTTTTAATTTAATTTAATTTTATTCATATCTCTTAATTACACAGGAGGTTTTATTTATTTAGGGATGTCAGTATATTTTGTATGATTTTGCTGCAGCTAATATGCTAATTAATCTTTTAATTAATCAGTTAATTTTTGCACATCTCTTATCAATTAATTTGGACTCATGAGATGATATAAAAGATATAAAATTTTATGTAGTTTATAGTTATAAAACACATGTGTAAATAATATTTAAACCAGTATACTCTTCTTAATTGTTGAACCCTCACCCTGCTGAAATTGTTATATGGACTTGTCCAGCTAGCATGTTTGGAATTTCCCATTATTGATTGAGGGGAAATCGGTATAAAAATTTTATTTAGTCAGCCAACAGTATAGAGCCTGGTCGTGCTGACTCAAGCCTTGCTGGCGTGGCTCTAAACTGGTGACATAGGCTAATCACTTTTGGTCCCAGCAGGGTAAAGGTTTAAAGTATATTAATTGTAGATTTTGCCTTACCTAACACAAGCTTTTCTCCTTATTTTCATATTTCCACCTTCGCCAACCTTGTAACCATGACATCTGTTACTCTGGTAACTATGAACTTTGACCTCTGACCTAAAAATAGAGCTTCAAATCCTACATAGAGAACCCTGATGAACTGGACGGTGTAAGTAGACATATTATCTGCATATATTCTATTTCTTTTGTGAAAAATGTTGATTGAATACACAAACATTTTAAAGACACAATATCCAGTAAAAGGATTTTGTTTCCAGATAGTTTTTGTAGATACTAGTCTGCTAGTCTGGTAATATTTTTTGCTATAAATTGTGCTTAAATATTGTTAAGTGTAAACCATTGTAAATTATTCTGGTAAATTTATTTTTGAAAATTATATCAATTACTGATATAAAAGTAACATATTTTAATTGATATTTTAATACATATTGTTGAACAACCAGAAAATATTCTCAAATTGAGTCTGTGTATTTAAATTGTTAAGAAAACAAATTATTGACTCAAGTGCCTACTATTACAAATTATTAAATAGAAGATGGAAATCACATTAAAATCTGGTCCTTAATTCTATTGGTTACAAGAACCAAACAATTAACTAAGAACATTAATCATTTTCCCTTAATCTGCTGTTATATTGTAATGAATTTGCTCTACTTTGAATCTGGAACAATTCATTAAAAAATTAAAGGGATTTTAATGATTATAAAATAAAAAAAAAAATTGAACTGCATGTACCACCATCCATCTACAAGGACTGTAATATATTAAAATGATATATTTTGCTAAATGTTTATTTTGAAAATGATGCATTTAAATTACTATGCATCCTTATGTAAAAGTAGTTTGTGCATCATTTACAATTATTAACCATGCAGAAAGCTTTGTATTATAGCAACACCCTCATTGATATTAATAGTTACCATTATACTTTTAAATTATATTTTATTTAAAGTAGCTGACAAGGGTCTTACTGATAGTAAAATGTTTGTAAGATGGATTAAAGTGATATCATGCCCATCAGACTAAGTGCACATTGTCAGTGAACAGGTGAATGTCAGAATAAGTTTACATTAAATTTTTGCCGTAATTTCTCTCAATTTTATAATTTACTTTGTATGAATATTAATTAAATGACGCACATTGCCCAAGGAAATTTCTGTAAATATCCAACAGAAATTACCTGTGACAATTAATTTATAAAAAAGAGTGGGGTAGTTTCAATGTAATATATTATAGGCAGATTTATATTTTATACTAAACATTTTCAAATATTTACCAATTATAAAAATCAATACTTGAAATATATACTCAATTCAGCTTCAGCTTCAAGTCTTGACAATTCAAAATTGAGCATAATCTCACTTTAACATCAATAAAAATATTACTAACTTAAGGTAAATTTATTGTAAGAGGAATGTGGAAAGTTTTGAACCAATGCATTGATTTTAATGTAAACAGTTTAAGTTGGGCTTGTCAGTCAGACCTTTGAGTCACTAAGATAACATTTCACTTTTACTACTTAATACTTTGTATATAACAGTCATGTTTACTAGTTTTCCAAGTTGGCATGATAAACAGTTTAGTATGCATATTTACACCCTGTTTTACTTTACTTTATCACCTAATATAGAAAAACAGGAACAAAAAATAAAAAGCTTGTTAAAATTTAACTTCCTATACATAGTCATAAATTTGTATCTATAAATCTGGGAGATGTAAGGGGAGATTGTAAGGGGGAGAAAAGTTAGTCAATCAGTTTTTCCTTCCATTTTACTTTTTGGTCATCAAATTGTGTGCTTGATAGCTTATATTTACCAATATTTTAAAATCTTGTAATAATATTTTAGATTTTTAGCTGTGAAATTTGGGCTCAAGGTCAATGAAGCTAAAAAATAGGTTTGTTTACTTTTCCTGATAAGATTTTTTTGGGGGTTATTGAACATTGATAACATCAGAGACCATCTGTATTGGTGTTCAGATATGTATATTGGTGTGTTTCTAATATTGTTTATTTGAGCCGTGTCACGACAAAACCAACATAATGGGTTTGCGACCAGCATGGATCCAGACCAGCCTGCGCATCCGCGCAGTCTGATCAGGATCCATGCTGTTCGCTATCAGTTTCTCTTCTTGTTATAGGGTTTGTAAGCGAACAGCATGGATCCTGATCAGACTGCGCAGATGCGCAGGCTGGTCTGGATCCATGCTGGTCGCAAACCCATTATGTTGGTTTTCTTGTGACACGGCTCATTTGCGTTTGTCAATTGGTGATACAGATATGTAAACTTATCTAGGATATTTATATCATCATACCTATCATACGTTATCATTACACAAATATATACCCAAATATATACCACTTCCTTAAACTGTTTACTTAAATATATACTGTCTCATTTGTGTTTTAATTTAGTACAATGTGGAGCAGGTGACAGAGTCTGCCTCAGAATTTTTTGACATGGAGCTCCAGCCTAATCTTCAGCCTGGTAAGATATATAATAATAGTTCTTAATTGTTTATATTATAAGTATTAGTAATCATTGGTGAAAGTTTTCAGGATTATTCCTGAAGTTCAGGATTTTCAATCTTCTGAAAGTCTTCTATTTCTTATGTAAAACTATAGAAATCAAAAACTGCTAAATTCAGGATTTTCAGGATTTTTTAAATTTCCAACTTTCACCAGTCCTCCATATCATAAATTTATGTATTCATGTCATTTAAGTAAACACTGTAATAGAATTTTGTTAATTTAATCAAAAGGTCAATTATTTCAACATCTTTCGATTTTAAAATACATTAGGTTGAAAAATATAATGTTGTATTCATATGGGTTACATTGTGACTTTAAAAATATCTATGTTGTGCTATTCATGTTCATAAATGGTAATGTTATACAAGGTTTAACTTCCCTCTTTTAACAAACTATCATTTACTAAGAGATTAAAATAACAATATGATAAGGAAGATAATGAACTTCTCTTCTTAAGTGGCCAACATATTAAGTTTTCTTGTTTCTAAATAAAGTCATTTCAATAAAATATTTAGATTTCCAAAAAAATGGTCCAAGCATTAAGATTTTTAAAAAGTACCAAACACCCCGTTTTTTTGTCAAATTTTAAAAATTCTTTATTTTTTTACCCCTTGAAATGGAAAAATTTAAAAAAAATTGGAAAACAAAAAATTTAAATTTCTTTTTAAAACATTTTTTAGCCCCAAAAAAACAGGGAAAAGTTTTTAAAAATTTAGGTAGGACAATGATTTTCTGAAATATATATAATTGTTACACATGTCCAGGGAAATAACTGTCTGTATACAAAAACTCACTTTATTAAACTTACACACATAAAGGCAGGCAGTTTTGTAATTATTTTAGTGTCCTTGACCTTTTCAAAGAAAAAAGGGGAATATATAGAAATGGGCTCTACCTACCAGTTTGTCCATAACACTTTGTGTTTGGTACATAACTCAGAGCCATTTATCAATGGATTTGGAAATAGTTTGGCACAAATGTTCACCATAATAAGACTATATGTCATGTGCAAACTCAGAACCCTACCTCTAAGGTCAAGGTCACACTTGAAAGTCAAAAGTCAACATTGTCTGATGGGGGTATATTTTTTGGCCAGTACATAACTTTTTCATCTATTGGGGCATTACTTTGGCATAAATGTTCACCTTAATAAGATATTTTGTCATGCTAAACACCCAGATCCCTACCTCCACACTTTTTAAAGGTTTAAAACTTAACATAGTCTGCCCCTTTGGCCTGCTTGTCCCCGGGCCACAAAGTTTTTCCCATTTATCAAAGGGATTTTTTAAATAAAATTTTGGGGACAAATTTGGGGCAATATTAGGGCTAAATTTTTCATGTGCAAACCTTTGACCCCTAAACCCCCAAGGTAAAGATCACCCCCTTAGAGGAAATTGGCCCCGTCCCCGTAAAAAAATGAAAATATGAATAAATAACTATGAGAGGGAGTGCACTAAAAGATTACCATAAGTCTAATTAAAAAAAAAAAATTGAATTATCTCCCTTTATGTATGTATTTACATGAGAGAGTATAGTAGAAACCCTCCTGAACACTATACTATAATTAAGACTCAAGTTGCTGTGAAGACAGATTTTTAGAAGAGCATAATTGAGTCACATATTTTAATACGCTTATATAGGAGAACTTGTATGAAACTTTTCTCGGCATTTTCTAGTGGAATTGGGAAAAAGGTTTTATAAAAAATTTATGCCCCATGGGGGTAAAAAAAAACTTCACCCCATGGTTTACTAATTTTGCCCTAAGACTTTTAATTTTTATAAGCTGTAAATGTATGGGCCCAAAACTGGGGATATTCGAAAACTGTATGAAAAAATTTCCCTTTCCCCAAAAAGTTCCCCAACCTGGGCTAATTCTAATTATCAGATTAGTGGATACAATAAAAATTTTACGACAAAATGTATGTTAACAAAAAAGAACATGTTAATGTTTGTGGTTAAATCAATTACTATTCAAATGAAAGGTCAGAGTAGGGATCTATCTATTGGTCCTTTTCAAAAGTAAATATACTTTGTAGTAACCTAAGCAACGTTACTTATTAAGTAACTTTATTGAGGCAAAAATGGACACTCTTTTGTTTATTATTGTCATGATTTTTCAAGCCTTTCAATTAGAAATAATTTTTTTCACATTGAGTAACCTAAAACTATTGACATTTCTTGTATTTTTAGCTCGACTATTCGAAGAATATGAGAGCTATTGTAGTCGCCCCGGCGTCGGCGTCCGCGTCCGCGTCGGCGTCTGCGTTGGTTAAAGTTTTTTGTAAAGTCAAATATCTCAATTATTGCTTGAGATATTCAATTGAAACTTACAATACTTATTTATAGTAACAAGGTACATCAGGTTGACAAGTTGGATAACTCTACCTACAATATTGACAGAATTATGCCCCTTTTTAACTTAGAAATTTTGGTTAAAGTTTTTTGTAAAGTCAAATATCTCAATTATTGCTTGAAATATTCAATTGAAACTTACAGTACTTATTTATAGTAACAAGTTACATCAGATTGACAAGTTGGATAACTCTGCCTACAATATTGACAGAATTATGCCCCTTTGAAACTTAGAAATTTTGGTTAAAGTTTTTTTCTAAGGTCAAATATCGTAATTATTGCTAGAGAAATTCAATTGAAATTTACAATTCTTTTTTATAGTAACAATGTACATCATTTTGAAAAATTGCATAACTCTGTCTGCAATATTTGCAGAATTATTTGCCCCTTTGAATCTTAGCAAGTTTTGGTTAAAGGTTAAAGGTCTTCAAACATATTTACTTGAACCTTTACACATGTACTTAGGGTCATAATTTGAGGGTCATAATTGTATGTCACTGACCAAGTTCCATAACTCTATCTTGCATTAAGGCTGATTCATATCCCCTTTTCTACTTAGTCTCCTGGTTAATGTTTACATGCAAGTTTTACATATCTCAATAACTATTAAAGATATTTATTTAAAACTTCACATATGCATTTAGGGTCAGAATTGTAGGTCACTGACAAAGATCCATAATTCTATCTTGCATTTAGGCTGATTTTTTTCCCTTTTCAACTTAGAAATTCATGGTAAAGTTTTGCTTGTAAGCTGTTATCTCCATAACTACTGAAGGGTTTGTGCCTTTTTTGGGACAATTTTATGCATTCATAATAATAAAGCAGTGATTTACTTGATAAAACATCTTAATAACAAGCCTTTGTACCTTTTCTGTCAATTTTATGTATTCATAGGTAATTAGTATTATTATACTCAATAAAACACCCTTGTGACATTACCTTCCAAATAGTCAAGGCAATACTGTATAATTAGACTCTCTCTAAGGCCTATAACATGAATTTATAAAAAAAAAATTAGCCCTTTTGTGAACTTAGAAAATTTTACATTATTAAGGCTCTTTTACTATCAAGCACTTAGAATAGTCGAGCATGCTGTCCTACTGACAGCTCTTGTTAAGATAAGGAACTGATGTACATGTAAATGATATTGAACTTGACATTTAATGATCAAAACAATGATTTTGTTAACTTGTTTTAAAATGTTATGATTCAATCTTTAAATCTGGTTCACTTGTACACGTCACTTTACTCAAGTGATGCTCAACTTTCATCTTTGGATGACATTGAATGTGATCCAATACACTTCTTATTCATTGAAGAATTAATAGCCTCTTCCAGTGCTGAATAGATTTCAGATTAGCAATCTAAGGCCATCTTAACCATCTTGCTTATGTTAAAGTTGATTCAGCTGGTAAGAACTTTAGATAGACGTCTGCTATAAAATTTTTTATCTGGGTGTCATTGGACAGGACACTTGTTAAAACAATGTACAAAAACTCTCATGTTTGTAATTTGTTTAGGAGAGAGTATGATTGGGGAGGTGGACAGTGTACTGAAATATTTACCATACTCGGATGGAAAACAAGGAATGTCGGGCAAACTTTGTGCTACCAATTTTAAAGTATCATTTGTGACAGCTGACAGATCATCCTATGAAACAGTAAGTTTGTTTTATATATTTGTTATTAGTTTGACTATTTTATTTATATGATAGGGAGAGCTAGCCCAGTCAGCTAGGGCGCAATGGTCAGTGTATGAGTCACACTGTTAGTAAAGTTTTTTGTACTACCCCAATTATTTCAACTCTGTTACGGATTTTGACAAAATTATACTCCTTTTTAGCTCGACTATTCGATAAGAATAAGTAGAGCTATTGCAGTCACCCGAGCGTCGGCGTAACCACTTATGTTAAAGTTTTTGTAATAGTTCAAATATTTTCAAAGTCCATTGACATATGGCTTTGAAACTTTGCACACTTGTTCACCATCATGACCCCAACCTGTAGACAGGAGGAGGTAACTCTATCAAGCATTTTGACAGAATTATGCCCCTTTTTCGACTTAGAATTTACGTTAAAGTTTTTGTAATAGTTCAAATATTTTCAAAGTCCATTGACATATGGCTTTGAAACTTTGCACACTTGTTCACCATCATGACCCCAACCTGTAGACAAGAGGAGGTAACTCTATCAAGCATTTTGACAGAATTATGCCCCTTTTTCGACTTAGAATTTACGTTAAAGTTTTTGTAATAGTTCAAATATTTTCAAAGTCCATTGACATATGGCTTTGAAACTTTGCACACTTGTTCACCATCATGACCCCAACCTGTAGACAAGAGGAGGTAACTCTATCAAGCATTTTGACAGAATTATGCCCCTTTTTCGACTTAGAATTTACGTTAAAGTTTTTGTAATAGTTCAAATATTTTCAAAGTCCATTGACATATGGCTTTGAAACTTTGCACACTTGTTCACCATCATGACCCCAACCTGTAGACAAGAGGAGGTAACTCTATCAAGCATTTTGACAGAATTATGCCCCTTTTTCGACTAAGAATTTACGTTAAAGTTTTTGTAATAGTTCAAATATTTTCAAGTCCATTGACATATGGCTTTGAAACTTTGCACACTTGTTCAACATCATGACCCCAACCTGTAAACAGGAGGAGGTAACTCTATCAAGCATTTTGACAGAATTATGCCCCTTTTTCGACTTAGAATTTACGTTAAAGTTTTTGTAATAGTTCAAATATTTTCAATGTCCATTGACATATGGCTTTGAAACTTTGCACACTTGTTCACCATCATGACCCCAACCTGTAAACAGGAGGAGGTAACTGTATCAAGCATTTTTTTTACTATCAAGCACTAAGAATAGTCGAGCGTTGCTGTCCTACCGACAGCTCTTGTTTTTACTTAGGATTTTGGTTAAGTTTTTTGTACTACTCCACTTATTGCCTACACCCTAAGTTTTTTCTTTGAAACTGTAAATACTTGTTTGTGCCTGCAGGCAAGATGTATTTTGAAATTAGAATACCCCTCTTTTTACTTACAGTATCATGTGTTGGAAAATGCATTAATTCACTATCAACACATTTTTTAAATAAAGCTCATAGTTTAATGTGGTTAATTCATGTGGGTTTAAGGTATTTACAATTTCTTTAAGACTACAATTGAATTTGAAAATTGTGAATTAACAGTTGTGAAAAAAAGATAATGTTTGGCTTTGTGTATAGGGCCCTATTTTGGCAATAAAAAACTGTGTGAAGAAAAAACTTGACTAAGATGAAGCAGGACTTCCATTAGTGATTTTGGCTTGTGACTTACAAAATATAACCATTTTCCTTCTTTACATATATAATGTAACTTCAAGTGTTAGACATTTTGCAGTCTCTGACTCCGATTTTAGTACTTCATGGAAGCCCTGACTAAGTACCCTAGTTATATTACAAAAGTCAGGATGCTTAACCTTACTATATTTGACATTATAGGGCCATTCTGCGCCAATTTTCTGCATTTATTTTACCATTTTACCAAAGAGAATTTCATTTTATTTTTTTATTTATAGACAGGTAAAAGACAAAGGAACAAATTTCTGGATGAAGATGATATCCCACTTACTTATATAGATGCCATTTATCAAGGTCGGTCAATATTTATAGATTTGTTAGTTAATAAAACAAAAACAAAATTATCTGGAAGAAAAAAAAGAGGCACCTTAGTATATAATTCTATAGGAGTTAATCTGTTACTGCACTAAAGTGAAAGCCATGAAAGTGGCTCATAGATTAAAATCATTGAGAATATTATCAGAGTCAGTAAAGTAAATGAATAATACAGTATTTATAGTTATGATGAATGACCTCATTTATGTAGTTAAGGTAACGTCAACACTGGCCATGTAAGAAATATTTTCGAGGTTATATAAACAAGGTTGACTGACATATTTCCATAAAAATGTTAAAATTGACAGAACACTAACAAGTTTCAAGAAATGATAAATATATACATACATGATACCATTTACAGATTTTGCAAATGTTGAATAAAATGAGAGTGGCAAAAACATTTAACTGTCGTAATTTTTTTTCATCTCTGAATTGCGAATTGTGCTCCAATTGACCTGCCTGTAAATTTAGATAAAAGTGGTAAAAAAAGCCTTGATTGCCTATGGCAATTACATGACTTTATTGTTGATTGCTTAAGACTGATCAAAACACTATTGCCTTTTATGTTAAGGCTAAAGTATGTTTTCCTTATTTTGCAATGAATAGCCATAAGTGAAGATCTTATGTTTTGTTTTTCGTTAAGATCGACACGCATTTTGGTAAATTATTCAACAATAGTTCTGTGTGCTGCAATATAAACATTATTAGGAATTACATCGATCTGTACTGACACCAGTCTAGAAATTATATCTAAGTGTATATATTGTTGTAATGGGCCGGTGGCCAATATCAATAAATAAATTGTCATTGTCATTGTGAATGTCATTGTCATTGCATGCTGGTAATCAAGGTGTACAGGGGTTAATACAAGTACATTTGTACATATCTTAATAGGTAAATACCAAAACATATTTCAGTTTGTACCTAATCATTTCACCGCAATTAAAAAGAAAAAATATAGCAAATAGACTGCAAAAATTTTATAATAAACATGATAATTATTGAAATAAAGGTTCATTTTTCCCTCTGTTTTTACTGTCAGTAAACATTTTAACTACAAACTGTTGTTATTCAAATTACAAATGGGTCATAAACATAAGCTGGAATTTTGATGAAGCCAGATCTCTTTCCAAGTATTCACATTTATAAGACCCTTGTTAATTGAATTAATAATATATTAATTAAGGATCATACACAACATTAGATATGTTCTAATAATTCTTCTGTACTTGAATGCTCGGAATAGGTTTGCATAGTATTTACAGACCCAGATGGCAATTTGAAAACAAATGATTTTAATTATATGTACTGTATATCTTTGCCTTCAGATTTTTTGTTTGTTCTGTTTTGACATTTAATTTGTGTAAATATTTATGTGACATTTATGTTGGTGTGTTTTTCCAAGTTTGGTAGTAGGACATATTTACTTTAATGATTTGGTTAGTTTAATTATAGGTTAAAATTTATTTAAGAAATAATATATCCCAAACTGTGATTTTATTGCTCAATAACATCACTGTTTGGAGTTCGGATGCGGGGAATTATATCACGAGGTCGTAGCCCGAGTGATATAATGATGCGCATCCAAACGACAAACAGTGATGTTATCAAGCAATAAAATCACCGATTTGGATATATTATTTCGATTCTAACACGACATCAACAAATAAATGCTGCCGTACATTATAATTAGCTTAATTGCGCCTGATTTGTTTCCGTACTTATTGTCAGCGCGTCACATTTTTAGTGGTTACGTCACGTGTATAATGATTACGTCACATGTCTAAATATAGAACGTCAAACAGTGATTTTATAGCATAATAACACACACTTTCGGTTCTTCTATGTTCAATAGGGAAAAATGCGGGTCGTGTTAGAATAATATGTATTTACAAAATTAAATTGGATAGGTGCGGTGCAGTTTGCTAATTTACCAAAGTAACTGTGTTACGATTCACCTGAAATACTGCAATCCTATTGGACATAAAATAATTTCAAACACTGAATTTAAAAAAAGAATGATGGAAGAATTTGTTGCAACTTATCTTTATCACTTTTAAATCTGTTTCCTGGCTCAAACCAGAACAGGTGTAATGTAGGAAACATTGTTGTGAACAGCGTAGTGCTTGAACCACAAACCATAGGTTGACAGCCAGAAATCTTTACCAATTAGCCCACCACTCTAATTCTGATTGAGTTGTGATTTAGTTGTAGACAGTATTGTCTGCATTTATTTTGTCAACTTATTATATTTGGTATAATAAGAGATATCAGTATTTATGTAAAAGGATAGGTAAGTACTGGTTTCACCATAAGGATACTCATTCATGTTTTTGTAAAAGGTTACAGTTTTATGGATTTTTTACTTTGAATATAGTTCTGATAATAAATTGTTTTAATAAAAATGCAGATTTATCACTATACCTATCCTAAGTTCAATATAAAATTCAATAAAGAGTAGTTTATGAATGAGTGCTACTTAATGTTAAAGCAAATGTGAATTTTTTTATACCAAAACTGAAGGATTGTCTTCATATATTGTAAAGGCAAACACAGTTTATGTTAATTATTCTCTTCCCTTTTTTCAATATAAAACTTTTTATTTTACTAGAATCACAATCAGGTTTTATTAGAATCACATTCATGACTGACATATTATCATATGATTGTACAGTTAATGCAGTGTTGTCATTGGTTACACTCTGAGGTGCTGCACATGTTTTTGGCTCAACACTTGTCTTAGGTGCTGCACATGTTTTTGGCTCAACACTTGTCTTAGGTGCTGCACATGTTTTTGGCTCAACACTTGTCTTAGGTGCTGCACATGTTTTTGGCTCAACACTTGTCTTAGGTGCTGCACATGTTTTTGGCTCAACACTTGTCTTAGGTGCTGCACATGTTTTTGGCTCAACACTTGTCTGAGGTGCTGCACATGTTTTTGGCTCAACACTTGTCTTAGGTGCTGCACATGTTTTTGGCTCAACACTTGTCTTAGGTGCTGCACATGTTTTTGGCTCAACACTTGTCTGAGGTGCTGCACATGTTTTTAGCTCAACACTTGTCTTAGGTGCTGCACATGTTTTTGGCTCAACACTTGTCTTAGGTGCTGCACATGTTTTTGGCTCAACACTTGTCTGAGGTGCTGCACATGTTTTTGGCTCAACACTTGTCTGAGGTGCCGCACATGTTTTTGGCTCAACAAATTCCTTAGTTATCATTCATGTTTAAGGGCTCAAGATATGTCCTGGCCTCCTAGATACCTCCCATGGTTTAAGCTCAATATGCCCTAGTTGCCACTCCAATTTGAGACTCAAAAAATGTCCAAGGTACTGCATATGTTTTTGGCTCAACACATGTCTTAGATACTTCACATGTTGTAAACTTAACACATCTTATATAATTATAAACTCATGATTGCATAACTATATAATGCTTTATACAAATCTATATTGCTTATTTTCACCATATATTTTAAGTTGTGTTTATGCTAACTTGTGTTTATGCTAACTTGTGTATAATGCTAACTTTTGTATATTTATTTTGTGTAAACAGTGACAAGAAATGGAAAGAGAAAGAAATTGACTCAGGGAACTACAACTTCCTCAAGAACAGAAGTACTCGAAATACATTGTAAGGTATGATACAATAGAGAAAAGAAATATTCAACACAGATTCAAACAGAAATACATCTTAAAGCAGGTCATCTCAAGATTAATGTCAGTTTTTATGAAAACAACATACTTGTTGTAATCAGTAGTATGTTATCAAGGGTAGCTGAAGGCATTTATAATTCTCAAAATATCCTCACAATCCTTAGAGAATTCTTCATTATTCTCAGAAATTATCACACTAACCTCAGAATTTACTTTTTCTTTACTCATTTAATAAACATGCCACTTTAATGAATGGCTATCTAACAGACACTTGAGTTATAGCTTTCCAGAAAAGTAAACTGACAGTCATGCATTTTTGGAATCACAGATTTTAAAGTTTTATAAAACTAGGAGTTTTTGCTACACTCCTGAAATTTAATTTGTACTATGACCTGAAGTGCCTGTATTCTTGTTGTTTTAATTACAACACACAGATTATGGGTTTCATTAGTGTTGGTTTTGTTTTTATTTGCCTCAGAATAAAGAATCGTTCTTGCAGAAATGAAACATCTTTTGTATACTTTATTACATCTTTTTTTTCTTCTTGAAATACTTGATATGTTTGATAGAGGAAAGAAAATGAGTTAGAAAAACAATTATTGTTTTTGAATTAATAATCAGCTTACTTTTATGCTTGACAACATTAAATTTTGTTTTTATTTTGTTTTAGGATTTCAGAATTCACAAGTTTAGTTTCAAATTCTCTGTGAATAAGACACAGAGTAAACAGTTTGTGAATGTATTAGTACACCATGTGTTCCCTACCAAAGATACTTTCCTGTTTGCACATGAATACGCCAGAAAAAATGAACTTAAAGGTTTGTAACATTTACTTTTGGTATGTTTTACAAAAAAAGAAGTTCATGTTTACGTAAGATATTTTATTGACGCATTTTACAGAAGTACATTGTTATGTTCTCAATTGGCATTTAAGAAAATTTAAAGTACATAATATAAATATAGATATGTACTTTAGAACTTTTACATACATACAAAGATATTTAGTAATCATTTTATTCTAACAGATAAATGTTGCTCTTTAAATTTATCTTCTTTTAATAGTCATGTGCTTAAGTTATCTTTTGTTGAATAATTAAACTCTAAACCTTCTGATGCAGAAGATTCTACCTATGTGACTAGTGCAGACCAAGATCAGCCAGCCCCTACATGCCATCTGATCACACAGGCAGAAATAAATGCCGTCATGCGTAAATTTTGCTTCTTTAGGAAAAGAAAGTCAATGTTATATACATCATGTTAAAAATGTAACAAAATTAGAGAAATTTAACAGACCTATATTTCAAAATTGATGATGTGACATCGTGATGTGATGACATCACAAAGGAGAATGCGCGACGTTACACAGCAAAATCAGTAAAAAAATACTTAAAATCACTTAAAAGCATGAAATAAAAAGAAATATATTTCATATTTCATTTGTGAACACCAGCTATTATATTTTCACTCTTGGCTAAACAACAAACAAATCTCCTCTATTTCTCTAAAAGTGATGGTTTTTATCCAGACTGAAGGTGAACAGACAAGTTTATTTAACATTTTAGCAAGGTTAAGGTAGCAAAATATAGAAAATAACATTAAATATGTTGCAGGCTTGGTTTCATTGAGCTTCTTCATGAATGGCATTTGATAATGAAAGTGCAAGCTTTTGTCCAGGCCCCCTAACACCAAAAAAAAATGAAGGACTGAGAGAGGCAGTAAGAACCATCAACAACTATTACAGAGCAACAGCATATCTAATTACTATTGGCATAACATATAATTAAATTAAATTAATTAAATAATATGTACACCCTTGTGGTTGAGGGGTTGCCTTTAACGTGGAGGCAACAGAATTTCAGTCACCATTTATCCCTGCTTGTTGATCGTAAGAGGTGACTTCATGGGTCAGAATTACTGTAATCTATGCATCTCTTAGCTCCAGGAGGTGAAATGGTCTTGATCCCTGGTGTTGCTTTATGTTTGTAACACCCGAATTAAGCCAAATCCATCTTTTCTGTTTATGTGCCATATGACCTAAATTGTGTTGGTGCTCCATAAAACCAAACAAGCAAAATAGCATGCATGTTACCACAAAATTACAATTTTACATTCTATTTGACATTGTGTATTTGTACAGGTCCTCAGCTAGTTTGTGAAGTTCCGATGTTTGACACGATATATGACTGGGAGGAAGAAATAAAGAGATGTAAATGTATGAAGAGTTGGCGAGTCACGAATGTTAATATGTCATATGATTTGTGTCAAAGGTAAAATTGATCTTTTATTAAAATGATTTATTCAAGACTGTTTTTTTGTTTAAGTTGTGTGAGATGTATAATTATTCAAATATGTGCTGTACATTCCAAGTTGAAGAACCTTTAACTACTATACCTAGCCTTTTAAGTCCCCTACCGGTTTAACCGGAGGGGACTTAAGGTTTACCCGTCCGTCAGTACGTCCGTCCACAAAACTGGATCCCGTGATAATGCAAAAAGTACTAAAATTATTTTTATGAATATGATCTATGGATAGATGGAAATATGGAGATTATGTGCGTGTTTTTCTTTTGTTCCTATGTTGAAAATTCTGGTTGCTATGGCAACAGATAGTCTGAAAATATGGCAAATTTAACATATTTTTATGAAACTTGAAATATGGGTAGATAGCAGTCTGGAGATTATGCACATCTTTTTCTTTTCTTCCAATGTTCAAATTTCTGGTTGTTATGGCAACAGATAGTCTGAAAATATGGCAAATTTAACACATAAACTGGATCCAGTGATAACTCATAAAGTACTGAAAATATTTTTATAGAAACCTGAAATATGGGTAGATAGCAGTCTGGACATCATGCAAATCTTTTTCTTTTATTCCTATGATTCCCCTACCGGTTTAACCGGAGGGGACTTTAAGTTTACCCTCCGTCCGTCTGTCTGTCCGTCTGTCTGTCCGCACTACCGAATAGGGATAGGGGGCCATCTAACTGTAAACAGAACAATAGAGTTCATTCCATAACAATAGAATAAGGGGCCATTGGCCCTCTATTAAACAATAGAAAATAACAAAAGAAATGGCCCCCTTTTACATTTCGGCCGGACGGACATCGGTCTGTCTGTCAGTCCGTCATTCAGTCCGTCCACAAAACTGGATCCCGCAATAAAGCAAAAATATTTTTATGAAACTTGATATATGGATAGATGGCAGTATGGAGATTATGCACGTCTTTTTCTTATATTCCTATGTTTAAAATTCTGGTTGCTATGGCAACAAATAGTCTGAAAATATGGCAAATTTAACACATAAATTGGATCCAGTGATAACTCAAAAAGTACTGAAAATATTATTATGAAACTTGAAATATGAGTAGATAGCAGTCTGGAGATTATGCACATCTTTTTCTCTTCCAATTTTGAAAATTTGGGTTGCTAAGGCAACAGATAATCTGAAAATATGGCAAATTTAACACATAAACTGGATCCAGTGATAACTCATAAAATACAGAAAACATTTTTATGAAACTTTAAATATGAGTAGATGGCAGTCTGGAGATATGCAGTATGAGTAGATGGCAGTCTGGAGATCATGCATATCTTTTTCTTTTCTTCCTATGTTGAAAATTCTGGTTGCTATGGCAACAAATAGCCTGAATTTCAAGATTTCTGATTTAAATTTTTCAGCTCTTTCACTATAAGTTTTTTATTTCTTAAGTTGTTTACTTCAAACTTTAAATAAAAGTTTCTTGTCATCAACCACATCATATGTGACAAGGTTTACAACTCTAGCACAAAAATTATCAGTATTACCTCCCTTGAACTTAGAATTTTTATGAAAAAAAAAATGTTGTCTTTTTTAAAAAACTTTTTTATTTCCTAATGTATCTACTTCAAACTTCATATACTTTATATGCTTCTAATTATCACTCAACATTTTTGAGAAGGTTAAATACTCTTGCAAGAATATTTCCAGAATTATGCCCCCCTTGAGCTTAGATTTTTTTTCCGAGAAATTGGTATTTTTTTACTCCAACTTCTTCATTCCTTATAGGATTTACTTTAAAATCCCACATCGTAATAATATGACAAGGTTGGCTAAACATAATTTCCTTACTAGGCAGGGAAACTTAACACATTACTGTGATATAGACAAACTTAAAACTCAAAAGAATAAAGTTCATTCAAGTCATCAGAATGTTGCTGGGATTCTAACTAGTAGGGGACTTATGAATTGCTTGCAATACTATGATAATTGCTTGTTATTTAATGGAAGTAAGGAAAAAGGACTTAAATTATTCAGATCAGAAATTAATTTAATTAACTACATGAGTTACTGCAATAGCATAACTTTATCAGCCTTTATATAGCTTCTTGAGTCTGTAATATTCATGTAATTTTGTTGTTATTAATGCTTCCGAGGGATCACCCTTTATCCAGATTTTAATGATATCTGAATATATATCTAGATTAGGTTTGGGTTGCACTGGCAACCTGAGCTCTTTTACTGCACTGGTATGTCCTTTTAAGACCATCATCTGCTAAATTCCATAACAAGGTGGCACTGCTGGAAGCAAACATTGCATAGTCTAAGTTTATCATAAGACAAAAGTGTCATTGTACACAAAATGAAATGTCCTTAAAAGTTCATTGCAGGTCTCGGACTTGATATGGCCAGTTATGTTACAATAATCATTAGTGAATAATGAACCCTAGCATTGATTAACACATAGTGACTCTACATAACATGCAGAAAGTGTTGGATATTGTGCTTTGGTATATGTTATTAACATGCCATAATTTAGGCTGGCTGTAATAATGCATGACAGCAACAACTGTAAACAATGTCTTGTATGGTATATCAGTATAGGTGGTCAAATGGTTAAACAATATCCTATTGAAGCATATCTTTATACTTAACTTTCTTTTACTTTAAATTATACTTTAATTAACTACATAGGAATAGTTCTTTCGATGACTTCTAAGATTTCTTGAAAACTAGCATCATTTTGTCTGATAAGTTGGTATCAGTGGATGTCAGCAGTTTTTAACACCTTTTAAAGTACCATGAAGCCTCATATGATGCAGGCTTTAGTAAATTTTTAAACAGCAATGAAATAAAATTTATATTGTGTGATCCTATGCTTGATTATTCTTTGTGTGAATTTAGATTTTTGGCATTGTAACTAGTTATTAGTCTACACAACCTGCTACTACCTGCTATAGTCATATCACATGTGGTATAGTAAGTGGTAAATTAACTAGGATATTTGAACAATCTGGATTAGTAAGGTAGAAAACTTTATTTTTTTTAATTGTCATGTATCATAATTCTGTATATACTTTTCAGTCTACCTCAATACTTTGTTGTACCATTTGCCCTGATGAATAATGATTTACAAAAGGCAGCCCCACAGTTCAAGGAGAGAAGGATTCCTGTATGTAACTTAAATGACATTTTTATAGTTAATGATTATAATAGTATCACTAATTATGTCTCCTTGCTAAAGGCCGAGGAGATTTAAGAGATGGTCTCCGTCTGTGCATTTGTGTCTGTCTCACTCATGTCATGAGCATGCTTAGTGATTTTCTTCAAACTTCACCTACTGATAGAGCACATTTGCAGGAAGTGCATTGTGCAATTACAATAACTCTACCTTTCTGTCTTAAAATAAGAGTTATTCCCCTTTATCAGATTTACTTGAAAAAAATAATTTCCTGAGCATAACTCCAAAAGTACTTGTCTGATTTTCTTCAAACTTAATACACTGACATAAATTAAATCACATATACAGGTAAAGGGATAAACCATGTGTGAAACATGACTTGTTTTTTCTTTAAACAGCTATGTTTTTGTAGTGGCAGATATTGCTAAAATATATAAACCAACCTTCATCTGTCTTTATTTTTATGTTTGGTCACGATGATATAATGAATGTGAATACACTCAATAATGGTATGAGATCCCGTTACATATTTTTTTAACACAAAATTAATCAGCTTAGGTCTAGCCAAATAATTTTTGACAGTACAAAAAAATGATACAGGTAATTGCTGTAAATAGTTAATTATCACTTTAGATTACATATCAAAATGATGGCTTTATTTTTTATCAACATATTTATTTACCCTGAAAAAAATTTAAACCTGTTAAAAAGGTGCTACAGTTACTTGTTTGTTTAGAATAAAAAACATTTCCTTGGTATAATGACTTGAGCTGATTGATTTCTGAAGTTATGTTGTATTGCTATGCTCATACATGTTTTATTAAGTTATAGTTAATGAAAGTGGAATAATGTTATGTTATGATAAAGTTTCTGCTGTGTTTTAGGGGATTAAATGCCTGGATAACATAAAACACAAAAAATTCATATTGTACATGTAACTGAAAGGTGATAAACGATAGGAGAAGCTGGCTTTATTTTATGAGTCAGTAACATATGATATGATAATTGATGTTATCATATGTTTAGTAATATGGATATTGATATTTTCATTTCTTTGGTCAGAACAAAGAATTACAATAAGAAAAGTTATTACGTGACTGACATTCTAAGATTTACACCTTGTCCTTTTGACCTGTATTAGTATTAAAGTGAATATTATATTAGCATGTATATACATACAAATATACATGTATATTTCTCTGGACTTTTCTTATTTATTCAAGGTTTTTGAGTTCTTTTTTAATGAGCAAGTGTCTATCATCAAAAAGTGAAAATTTGGTGAGTTTCTCCGCCATTAATGTTTAATAAATTAAAATATCACAACAGCAACAATACAACAACAAAGTCCAGTAACAGTCTTGACAGCTTTACATCTTTTCAGACACATAGTATATATAAAATATTATTATATTACTTTTCTTGCTATATTTAATTTGTTATATATGAACTGAATGCATCAAAACAATATCAAACGATATATTGAAATGTTTATATACAGACATGGTGCTATACTCATATCAATGGCAATAGTTTGGTGAGAATGTCTGCACCGGAGGAAAGTTGTGATCAAGGTTTTCTACAGAAAAGGTATAATTCATAGCATGATCAATTTTAACATGTGCTTCCATTCCAATTAACTACCTAATCATCCTAGAGTGATCAATAATTATATAGAAGATGTAATCTGTTTTAAAGGGATACTTAGGCAAATGAATGACAAAAATATTAAATTAATCTTATTTACTCAAATTATGCTAAAGTTATGCAGAGTTCCCAAGTAGATTTAAAACAAGTCATGTAACTAGAAAAAACTCTGGAAATCACAATAACAGATATTGTGGATATTGTTAGATTGAAATAAATCTTAGTCATTCATTTGACAGGTATTTTAATGTTTTCATAGTTCTCTTTCACTGTGAAATCTAAATGGTCTAACCTGACCAACGTGGGTCAAGTTGCGAAACCACCATTTTATTCTTTATAAGGAGAAAAGTTTTGTTCTTGTGACTGTTTAGTGTATTCATTTCAAGGAAATTTATAGAATATTGAAAGAAAAATGAATGTCTCCATTTAAAGCAAAACTGTATTCTAATATGGTTTTGAATGTTTCCCATGTTATCATGTAGTATATGAACCTGATAATACACACATATATATATTATCCTCTGATAACATTGGCATGATTTACTCACTTCCAATGTATATGTCAATTATTGTCTCATTAGCTCCATTAGTTCAAGTACATGATGTAAAATTCAATGATTAACAGAGACATCAGTTTATTTTGGCTCCATTCAAGTAGAAATCATGCACTTTAAATTACCTTTGGTTTACCAAATGTATATGAGTTTGTATCTGAAATTATGTACAGAGGGGCACCTGAGGTCTTCCTCCACCAGTAAAGCTGGAAAGTCTCTATATAAACTATACTGTGTTGGTGTGACATAATACCCAATGAAGGAAAAACAGATAATACCGGTATTATAAGACAGTTACCTGTTTATTTTTTTACAGTAATTCATTTAAGACACAAATAATACAGAAATTAGGGTAAGTGTTATGTAACACTGGAATTTATGTCCAGTAATCTGTCTGTACTACATCTACATGACATGTAACTATCATCTATCATATCATACTGTTACTCAGGCTCACATTCTTAGTTAGTACTTTGGTAAGGTGGATATAAACAGGGACCAGATGTATACAAACTTTACAGTATTGTTTCATAAAAGCAACAATTTACATTTCTTATTAGATGTGCAAGTTGGCATTTGAGTTTAAGAATTTAGCCCATAACCTGTTGAATTTTATATAATGGATTTGCCTTGCTAAAAATTTGGAACAGTCCATTTGACATTTTAGGGGTTTCAAAAGTAGACAAACAGTAGAGGGTCAAGTCTACTGATGTTCAGGCTGGCCTGGCTCTATACTGGTGATAAAGGCTAATCAGTTTTAGTTCTAGCAGGTTTTATAGGGTTAAGTTTCATATTTCATCATTCAACTTTATTTAGATACTTAAATGTTTATAATATGTTATGGGTTAACAGGGACTAAACAGTTTGATTACAATTTAGAAGAAAATTACTAAAATTTCGATTTTCATGAATTATCCATTCAGTCTACAGATTCCACGGTAAAAAATGAAAAGGCATTTCTTTATATAACTGTGTAAGCATGCATTAGTTTCTTGGATTTGCTTTGTCCAGTTTTTGCTTTCATAAAATTTCTCTCCTGCTAAGAACAAATTTGAATTTCTCTGATTATTAAAACAAACAAAAGCAATATTATCTGATTGATTTGATGTAAGTGCTAAAATAATAAACATCATTTTTGTATTTGTGTCAAAGTGATAATAAACTAGTATAGAAAACGTGAAAGGTCAATAGTTCTTTGGCCTTAGTCAGTTTGACAAACTTGATTAATACGCAAAAGGTGTACTTTCTACTTAAGCATGCTAATATGGACTGAGATTTCTTACAATAAAAGCCATGGTGAAAGTATAAACAGATTGAAACTAGAATATGCATTTATATTTCCTGTATATTTAACTTTCCTTTCTTACAATCTTCACTTAATTCTGATGTTTGGGTTCTTTGATCAGTAAAAGTTAATATCAAAGTGTTTGATAACTGGTTTGAGGGCATTCTGAGTATTGTTAATTTCTTGTAGTAAATAAAGATATATGGTTGTTTTTCCCTTGGTATATTGGTTATGATATATAGACTATAAACTTATAAAATGAACAGTCAATATTGTATGTGTTAAAATTTAAAATGAAATCCCCTTAGAGATAACATTATGGGTAATGTTATAAAACCAAATGCAATGTGACTTGAAAACCCAGCACCATGTCAAATAATATACATTTGTATTACTATTTTAATATGTCTTGAAAAATTATAAAGATTTAAAATAGCAGTATGTATTGTTATTAATAGTTCAAAGTTCAAATGTTTATTTCAATTGATAAAGGCCTACAGCTAAAAATACACATCAAATTGGTACGTTTAAATGTAAGATTCCCTGTTTAAGGAACAAAAACAATTTGGTTGCATATAATCATTTTCAAAAAGAAATTAAAATGCCATTGTTAAAATACTGACTCTTATTATTGTGAGTCGCTGAATATTTGTCTGGAAGATTTTATTGAAATGTGTGAAGAATTTTATTGATATCATTGTTTACAGGATGTTAGATGCTGTTAAAGTAGCTGGTAACCATAGAAACTCTCCAGCTGTGATAGATGTTGCTGAAAGTTGTCCATCATGTCGAGATGTTCAGGAAGGGTTTGTTAAACTGAAAAAATTGTTTATGACAGGTAAGTTTGTAAAATTTTATGTCAGCAATATTATACTGTACCCCTGTCACTTGTTACCAGGTCTCTCGCACCCTCCCGCCCACCTGCCTCTTCCCCCTGTACTGCAGGACAGTAGGGACATTGACTATCAAATTTTCAAAACCTGATATAGGCCAAACATAAGGGGAAAATAAGATGGTAAAATCCTGGTTTAAAGCCCAGTTATAACACTGGCCAATTTGCTTTAAAACCACTGCATTGTTGATCCATTTGTTTTTGGACAGGCTTGAATAAAAATGTCGGCTTATTTCCCCAAGTATTGCCTGCCTTTTCTGGAGGAAGAGTTGAGTGTGTTGAAATTGACTTATGCATTACTTTTTTGTGGCAAGTGAACCTTTTAAAAAAAAGTTTTTATGTCAGATGAAATGTTCTATAAAGATCTTACACTGGCTGTGGCTACAGTTTGGAATATCTATAGCTCGAGGGTAAATGTTTACAGTTGTAAAGAAGCTGTGCAGAGACATTCTTTCAGAACTACAGATGCTGCTTGATTTTATATCTTGCATATTACAAATTAATTATATTTCAAAAAGTTATTACGAAGACTAATATGTTCATCTGGCACTTTTTTCTTATAGTAGCATGTGGATTTACAACTTATTAGCAAAATGACATCATCATAAAAAGGCAATTTATTCATAAAAGAACAATTAAAAACAGTCAGAGATTTTCTCAAGTACTTTCTTGTTTAAGATAATGTTTATTTTATGATTTCAGATTCAGAACAAGAGTTTTATGTACAAGACATGAGCTGGTACTCAAGTCTAGATAATACAAAATGGCTGTCAATGGTGGCTAAATGTCTTAAAGCATCACATGATATTGTAACTATAGTAACCAATAAAAGATCTGTTGTGATACAAGGTAAGAGCAAGATTTTATTACTGTTATACAAGTAATTTTGACATAGTTCTTTTAATTTAGCATACTAATTTCACTTTTAATGGTAAACACACATATATCATACAATATTACATAAATATGTTTTAAACAATATTAGATGTATTTTGGAAAGTTTGTTGATTTTCCTTTTAAGCTAGACTATTCATAGAAAACAGAGAGCTATTGTGCTCACCCAGACATTGGTGTCACAATTTTTATCCCCCGCCGAAAATTTTCGGCGGAGGATATAGAAATAGTCTCCGTCCGTCTGTCCGACCTTCCGTCCGTCCTTCCGTCCGAAATTTTTGTCCGGAGCATATCTCTAAAAGTATTTGAGTTATCAACTTGAAACTTCATAGGTGGATAGACCTCATTGAGGAGGAGTGCAGTGCACAAGAATGATAACTCTACCTTGCATGATTTTTGAGTTATTGCCCTTTGTTATTTTTCAAAATTGATTTTTGTCCAGAGCATAACTCCAAAAGCCTATGAGATATTAACATGAAACTTCATAGGTGTATAGATCTCACCCAGGAGGTGTGCAGTGCACAAGAATGATAACTCTTCCTTTCATATATTTTGAGTTATTGCCCTTTGTTATTTTTCATACCTAATTTTTCACCTGAGTGGAGCATAACTCAAAAAGTGTTTGAGATATCAACATGAAATGTCATAGGTGGATAGATCTTATTGAGGAGGAATCTTGTGCGCAAGAATGATAACTCTTCCCTATACAATTTTTAAGTTATTGCCCTTTGTTGTTTTTTCATGCTATTTTGTCCAGAGCTTATCTCAAAAAGTATTTGAGGTATCAACTTGAAACTTCATAGGTGGATGGATCTCATTGAGGAGGAGTGCAGTGCTAAAGAATGATAACTCTACCCTGCATTATTTTTGAGTTATTGTCCTTTGTTATTTTTCAAAATTAATTTTCGTCCAGAGCATAACTCAAAAAGCCTTTGAGATATCAAAATGAAACTTCATAGGTGCATAGATCTCTTTCAGGAGGTGTGCACTGCACAAGAATGATAACTCTACCTTTTATAATTTTTGAGTTATTGCCCTTTGTTATTTTTCATACTTAATTTTTCAATTCAATTTTTTTCTCAAAAAGTATTTGAGGTATCAACTTGAAACTTCATAGGTGGATAGATTTTACTGAGAAGGGATGCAGCACACAAGAATGATAACCTACCCTGCATTATTTTTCAGTTATTGCCCTTTGTTATTTTCAGCCATCAGTATTCACATAGGTTTCAAATCTGTAATCACTATAGCCATCAGTTTTCATTACCAAAAGACCTCTTAGAATGGAATTATTCTGCTCTACTACATATACATTTTTCCAATGAGCAAACACATTCGGCGGGGATGGCCATGTTGACATGGCTCTTGTGGTATTTGTTTTTGTCTGTGTGTCCAAAAGTAGTGATGGGAATGGCTTGGAACATTATACACTAATTTGAGAGAATAAAAGGAGGATATTGACCAAGGCCCATTACTCTTAACTTGGATTTTGATGGAATTATGGCACTTATTTAACTTAAAAATTTTACATTATCCAGTTTCAAGCACCGAGAATAGTGAGCATGCTGTCCAACTGACAGCTCTTGTTATTATACGTTTTGGTCAACTTTTAGTTTATGGCTATTAACTTTAATACTTACAACACTATTCCAGCACTGAAAAATTTGGATGTGTTCTCTTCCGAATAGGCTTTTTTTAATGAAAATGAATATATTGTTAATATATTTAATGGAGTTATATCAATGTATTATATGATATGTACACTATGATAGATGTAATATGTAAATGGGGTGATCTTGACCTTGTCATATCAATTTCAGGGTTATTTGAAATGATAAAAAAGTCATAAAGGAAAATAAAATTAGATAAATGATATATTAACTTTAACAGTTTAAATTGATGATGATATATCATTCAAGGCTTGACTTTATTCATTTGACTTTTGTTTATTTGTCTTTGTTTAATGCTGGTATGGAGTGTCTTTATTTGGATATTTTCCTTCACACATAATGTTGTGATAGCATGAGATTGGATACTAGTAAACTCGTCTGTTTCAAAGAAACATGATCCCTGCCACATCATCATTGTTGTGGGCGTCATTGTTGTCATGCAAAACTTTAATGTTATCCATTATTTAAATATTTCAAAAGGTATCAACATTAAACTTTAAAAAAAAAACTATGACTAGGTTCAGTTGTTTGACAAGCGGCATCATTTTCAAAGCATTATTTTTAGAGTTATGCCCCTTTCAGCAAACGAGCATGTGATGCTAATGTTATTTGATATTGTATAGATTCATGTTTTATATTTGTAGAACAAAGTGGCTGTGATATGTCATGTCTAGTTTCAAGTGTTGTGCAGATTTTGTTAGATCCATATTATCGTACTCGTGTCGGATTTGAGGCATTGGTACAGAAAGAATGGGTACGAATGGGACACCGTTTCCAGAGAAATCTTGGTCTTGTTGGAACTAGTGAGGCTGATTTAGAACAGGTTTGTATGTTTGATTTTATGTTATCTCAAATGCAATATATATTTTATGAAAATTTATGATATATTACATAAAATGATGACAGAATGTGCATATTGACCTCAGGTTATGCACAATGCATTATTTGAGACACATGAAGACAATTGAGTCAAATAACAAACCTTCCATTACTTAACTGGATAGCTTTTAGCTTCCTCGAAAGAAATAATAATCAAATTTGTAGTTGAAGAACATTAATGATATATCATGGATATTATGTTTAATGAAGATAGATCTATTTAACTGGCATAGAGTTGCATATTGAATTTTGTACTTTTGTTTGTACTAATTGTTTAACATGAGCAACATTGTTTCAAAATATTTACAGATAATCATTAAATCTTTTTTTGTGCATTTTGCCAATCATATTGTCCATCTATACATCTCTGTTTGTCACTGTTTTGTCTGTGCATTTTGCCAATCATATTTTCCATTTATACATTCTTATTTTGTCTGTACATTTTGCCAATCATATTGTCCATTTATTCAGCTGCAAAGCAGCCGAGTCTTATATGATTTTTAATAAGACGCATGATTGACTGCGGAATGATATGATTTATTTTGCGAGCTGTCAATAAAAATACAAGTACATAAAAACATTCAAATACATCAGCATACATCAGCTTTACACTTTAGAACCTATTTTAAATATCTTGTTATTTTGCTAAACATTTTCTTCAAATAGAAAAACAATGTTTTCTTATCTACTTAGTGTACAAATGTTGGAATGTGCAACTGTCTGTAGTTTACAGAGATTTAGTATCATGGAATTAGGCTAAAATTAAATCATGCGTAAGCATGTTGGTTCCATCTAAAGGACAACACAATGTAAGAGCTGTTTCTTTTCATTGTCAAAAAAAAAACATCTGAATTTTTAGCTCACGTGAGCTTTTAGGATCGTTGAATTTCTGTTGTCCATCTTCATTTAGTTTGTTTAAATTTGTGGTCACATTTTTGCCTCAATTGTCCCTAAACTTTGTCAGTAACTTCTCGGACAAGTTCAAACATGGGTCATCTCAGATGAAAAACATGAGCCAAAAATAGAAAATCCTAATGCCTAATCAACTATGTTTATTGCTCAAATTTATGACTTTATTATTGATCCTTTGCTTATTAAAAGTTTATATGTTGTTTAATCGGGATATAATTAGTTAATGACCAGGGCATTACGATAAACCTTTACGAACGTGTCAGCACTGTCTATATATAGATAAGACTTGTAGTGTCAGATTCCTGGTACAATTATTGGTTACCTGTCTTAAAGGCATTGAATTAAGTGTACCAGTCATGTCACATTATAAGTTAGAGTGCTAGTAAGGTTAACCCTTCCCCTTTTATTTCAATTTTGAAAACTGAACAGATCTAAACAGGCTTTCGTAAAAGTAACATTTCATTTAGCTCAGTGCATGGCTTACCATTCCATTCCTTCGCAGCCATTTTACATGTGTGTAAAACCTCACTTGTACATCTCTATCTTTTTTACGCATTTTGCTAATCATGAAGCTCATTAGCTCGACTATTCGCAGAATAATCGAGCTAATGCAGTCACCCATTTGTCGGCGTCGGCGTCGGCGTCGGCGTCGGCGTCCCTGTGGTTAAGTTTTTGTATGTAAGCTGGTATCTCCATAACTACTGAAGGGAATGGATTGAAACTTCACACACTTGTTCTCTGTGATTATCTAAGATGATTGGCACAAGTCCCATAACTCTGATTTGCTTTTTTTCATAATTATGCCCCTTTTTCGACTTAGAAATTCTTGGTTAAGTTTTTGTATGTAAGCTGGTATCTCCATAACTACTGAAGGGAATGGATTGAAACTTCACACACTTGTTCTCTGTGATTATCTAAGATGATTGGCATAAGTCCCATAACTCTGATTTGCTTTTTTACATAATTATGCCCCTTTTTCGACTTAGAAATTCTTGGTTAAGTTTTTGTATGTAAGCTGGTATCTCCATAACTACTGAAGGGAATGGATTGAAACTTCACACACTTGTTCTCTGTGATTATCTAAGATGATTGGTACAAGTCCCATAACTCTGATTTGCTTTTTTTTCATAATTATGCCCCTTTTTCTACTTAAAAATTCTTGGTTAAGTTTTTGCGTGTAAGCTGGTATCTCCATAACTACTGATGGGAATGGATTGAAACTTCACACACTTGCTCTCTGTGATTATCTAAGATGATTGGCACAAGTCCCATAACTCTGATTTGCTTTTTTACATAATTATGCCCCTTTTTCGACTTAGAAATTCTTGGTTAAGTTTTTGCGTGTAAGCTGGTATCTCCATAACTACTGAAGGGAATGGATTGAAACTTCACACACTTGTTCTCTGTGATTATCTAAGATGATTGGCACAAGTCCCATAACTCTGATTTGCTTTTTTACATAATAATGCCCCTTTTTCGACTTAGAAATTCTTGGTTAAGTTTTTGCGTGTAAGCTGGTATCTCCATAACTACTGAAGGGAATGGATTGAAACTTCACACACTTGTTTTCTGTGATTATCTTAGATGATTGGCACAAGTCCCATAACTCTGATTTGCTTTTTTACATAATAATGCCCCTTTTTCGACTTAGAAATTCTTGGTTAAGTTTTTGTGTGTAAGCTTGTATCTCCATAACTACTGAAGGGAATGTATTGAAACTTGAAGGGTTTGTACCTTTTCGGACAATTTTATGTATTCATATAGGTAAGCATTATTATACTCAATGAAACACCCTAGTGACAAATTTTCGAATAGTCGAGCGTTACTGTCCTCCGACAGTTCTTGTTTTATATATTCTGTTAATGTTTTATTTCATGTTTTTATAGAGTATGTTGCTTTTATAATACAGCTTTTTACACAGACCAAAGTCCATTATTTTGCAAACACATTATGTTTCATGATATTTATACCTGTAGACATTACCTCATTAATTTTGAACCTTAGCAGATATATCATTCACCTGTAGATAGAGAGTCTGTGTTGTTTACACCTAGAGTTTTACCTACTGTAATAACGGTTATCCCTGGTGATAATCCTGGATTACTCATCTGTTTGTCTAACAAATGACGCATAGATAACATCATAGTACATGTATAACTTAGTGACTGTGTGTGTACTTTTAGTATAAGTACATAATGATTTACCAGTATTTTGTTTTATGACAAATAGGTTGTGAGTCAGGGAAATAGAAAAGTAACAATTATTAAAAAAAAACAAAAAAAAACAACTGTAGTTGCTTGATATTTTTTGTGTTTTGTTAATGGATTTCCAGTTCATGAAAAGAGCGCAAAAAAAGATAATTTGTCACTTTCAGCAGTTTTCATCCGTTTTTGGTCCACCTATTACACTGTATTCATGAGACAAAACATTTCATAGATTTTAATTTTGTAATATTTTTAAGTTTTATTTCATTTTTCTGTGAGTCACAAAAGTCTAAAATTTAGGGAAAATTGGTTGACCTTTTTCCTTATGCTGAAAAAGGGGTTTCGCATATGGGTGTTTTAAATACACCAAAAACTTAAAATTTTTTCTTGTAAATATAAAAATTTATTACAAAATTCAGACTTCCTTAGTTATATTTAAATTCCAAAGAATTTTTAAATTTTTTTTTATATTGTAAAAGAAATTTTTTATATAAAACCCAAAAGAAATATTTTTGTTTTTCCCAAGGGTTCCCCCAATTTTTCCCCGTTATAATTGGACTGGGGGTTTTTGGGAACTTTTTACAACAATTTTCCCCCCAGTTTTTGGGGTTTACGGAGACAAAATTTTTTAAAGACAAATTTTGGGGACACACTCAAAATTTGGATCTTCGGGTACATTCCGTTTTAAAAATGACCACCAGAAACAAACATTCCTGCGAGGGGAGGGGAAGAATATCCGTCAGTAAACAAATTTTCCGGCAGCTTGGAAATGGGGGTATGCAATTCCGTGCGAAGATTTTTTCTTTTTTTTAAAAAACCCACTTTTTGTGATTTTCACGAAAGATGAAATTTTTCTTTAAAACATTGAAGGAATTACAACCAAAAAGTCCCATTCTTTTGGGAGATGCAGTTTAAAGATCTTTGGAGCAATACGTTAGATGGCCCTCCAAAAAAAAGTGCCTCGGGCTTTTTTTTCTGTTTTCTGTACAGAAATTTTGGGGTTGACGAGTTTCGATGTTTTTTACCCCCCACTGTTTTTCAGGGTTCCCCTCAAAAGCATTTGTGGACTCCCGTTTTTTTCTCCGCTGGAGATTTCCGGCTCAGGGTATTTAGTGGTGGGACGCCCCTCGTTTAAACTACAACATGTCACATGGTGGAGGGATCATAAAAAGTTTTTTTCCAAAACACAAAACTAAACAATTTAAAAAGCTGAAACATTTTAAAACAATGGATTTATTCCGCCCGCGGAGTTTTAAACCCTTTTTTTGGTCCAAAAATCCCTGATACACCGAATTAACGGAACTTTTTTTAAAAATCTACTTTTGTTAAAAAATCATCATTCCCATTTACACCTGGTACATCAAACAAAGATCAGCAAAGATTTACCTTCACACCAACCATTAGTACCTTCCTGAGAAACACATCTTTAGATTTTGACAGATTCCTTGATGCTGATGACTGAATGAACCAAAATATTTTCAGTTGTTTTCATTTACATCTTCTTGATGCATTTAACAACATTAAGTTCAGTTAGTTGAGTAAATAGACCTTAACATATTAAATGCAGTTGTACCAGAACTAGGGTTGAAAAGACAAAATCATTTGCTTATAAGATTTTATAAATCCCTCATTAGTCATTTAGTTGTATCAAATATGTGAAGAAAGATCTAGGTGAATTGTTCAAAATTTGAATACATAGGCATGCCTTCGGATGAGTAAAATTAATCTCAAAGAAATTAAACTTCAAAAAAATATATTTATTGTTTAAGAGATTTATAACTTAACATGAGCCGGGTGAAAATGTAATGTTATTATGAAAACTATGAGAGATTTTACTATTTTTGTCACAAAAGTTTTACCCTTTAATGGAATAATAGAAATTTCTACATATTTTGAGAATTTA